ATTAGCACAGAGTCAATACAAATGGACAATCTTTTATTTCCGTTTCATGCCAATTTCATGTATTTTTTATTTAGGATCCTATTCCATGTATGTACTGATTTGCAAGGCTTTTTGTAAAAAAAAAATCTTCTCAAAATATGTACTTAAATACACCTTTCTTTTCAAAATAGATTTAAAATGTACATTTTCCTTCAAAATACACATTTAAATTTCATAAACAGTGTTGCAACATTTGGTGAAGTGTGATATCTAACCGAAAGCCAAGCTCTGCTTTTTGTGCAATATTTGCAGAAGGGCAGATAGTCATTTCATACAGGAATTGGTAAAGATCATTTCCTTTAAGATGGAACAAAAAGAGGACAGAAAATCTTAAAACATTGTGGCCATGATTAGTTGTTCTCTTAAGATGGAAACACAACTGGATTCTCCTATCTCTTGCACTCTGGACACTTTCCAAACAGGGAAAACTCTTATTTCTGCTTTGTGACTACATTCATCGAGGATCTCGCCCTACCTTCTTATAGGCTTCTATCATTTTCAGCTGAGGGACTGGTGTTCTAATAGCTACACTTACATCTTTGAAATATGTTTTTTTCTAAAGTGCAAGAAAGCTGGAGCATAATGGATAATCCATATAGAATGTGTATATATGCATGCAGGTGGCAGCTGCTTTCTTAAAATAGATATTTTCCTGATAATAGCTGAAGAAACAAGAATGGTTCTTGGAAAGGGGCATTACTCATATTCTTTAAAACAAAGTGAGTGTTCCTTTTTGGAATTATTTCCTCTTCTATGCAGAATTGTTTGTATCAAGGCAACAGGTTAAACAAATATGTTCACAGGCCCATCCCATTTCCAATCAATCCTCATATCATTACTTGACTAAATTTGGTGACATCCATCAGGAAAACTTTCTAATGGAAAGTAGCAACTGAACCATAAATAATTCCTTTGTGGATGTGTCACTTTGTTATTTAAGAAAATTGCAGCAGAGGATGTAGAAACACTGACACCTTGCCATCATGGGATGTCCTGGCTGAGGATAATGGGAATGGTGTCAAAAAATCTATATAAGGGAGAACCACGAGTTCCTCATTTTTTTATACTGGAAGTTATAGAACAGTTTTGATTTGAACAGCTAAAGAGTTCTCCTGTCTTCATCCCATCAACCTCTCCATGGTAAAAGAGGGTTGTGTAGAAAAGATGAATCTGAGGACTGGAATATTCTCCCTGAGACTTCAAGTTAAGCCACAGGAGAAAAAGTGACACATTTAGAAGATCTTACGGTATGTACTTCTGAGTCAGGAAATGTAAGCTCTGATAACACCTCTCAAAATAAAAGCTCAGGTGATGTGATAATGAAAGCAACAGATTCTGTGTTCAAAAACTGATATCTTACCCATGGAATAATGTCAGTATTCTGAGTATGAAGAGTAGCATAAAAAGGAGCTTTTAAAATATACTTACAAGTGAAATGAGCACCTCTTCCTCTATGTTGGACCATATCCCCTTTGTAAAGTTAAGTACTTCTACACTATAGATCAGTTCTTGCACAACTGAACTGCACAACAGACAAGTTGATATTTAGACTATTTGGTTGGTTATTTCATTGATGAGAAACCAGAGTATGTTTGATTTTACAGACCTGATGCCTCTGCCGTTGTCAGACAGTTGCTAATCTCATTGGCACCATTTCTGTATCACAAAACTTTCAGGTTTTGACCTCTCTCCTGAATATTTACACCAATTAACCCTGGAAAAGGCCAAATCAATCATACAAGAGAGAATCGGAGACATTGATCATCAAAATGATATCACCAGTGTTCTTGAATGCTATCGCCAAATGTGAGACAGACGCCAATCTTCTACTGCAGGGTATCTATACAATCTAGGTAAAGATAAAGGTTTCCCCTGCCCAGTTATATCTGACTGTAGGGGCAGTCCTCATCTCCATTTCTTCTCCAAGTTGGCTGTGGCGAATTGTCATAGACCCAGCTCAGTGTCTCTTAACTGCTGAGCCATCACACCGCTCTATATAATCTACTGTAACCCAAAGCAAATATAAATGGCCCTTTTCCAGAGCTGGCTTTGATGCCCTCCCATTCGCTCTACTGGTGGGAAGATTTCATGGGACTCCTTATTTAGGAGAGACTTTGCCCTTGTGGATTCAAGGAGGAAGAACTTTCACCATGATCTTATTCAGGGTCCTTTTTCTGATACCCCGAGATATCCTCTGATTGCCCTTATCACTTCCAAATATGAGACTCTCACTGATAAATTTTATGCTTATTATTTTTCAGGGATGCTAACCACGTACTTGCATTTCAGATGGCCAAATATCTTCACCACGGTATACAACTGTCAGATGGCAAAACTTTCAGTTAGATACGTCGTTTTATAGCCCTGTTGTTTCTTCCCCTTTCCTAATAATGAACTATTATGTCAAACTATATTTTTATTGTAAAAGATGGCCAAAGATTGTATTAAAGATTTGAACTTAAAAAAAAAATCTCACATTCAAAATAGCGGATCTCACTGATGGTCATTGTCCTTTCTTTCTCTCCTTCCCAAAAAGTCCTAAGATGTGACATTTGGGCATTCTGGAGAGAAAAACCCCCCAGAAAATACAAGCTGATAGATGCATGAAATAATATAAGTTGCCATGTCATTCCTAAACGTATTGGCTTGAGTTTCTGTTCATATTTATGCTTCTTTTCCCCTATTTTTCCCAAAAGGAATGCATCATCTTTATATCTGTTCTATGAACCAACAGATCTCCTTTCCCTTGGCTAATTCAATCAATATCCTGATCTAGAAGAATCTTCTTCCTTTATTGCATCTATCAACACAGTGACTAATGCTCTTTGTTGACAGGACTAAAAGTAATTTGAAAAAAAAAGATTCATGGTCTGAAGTCCAGAGGTTTCATGGGGAAGGGGATCAAAATCATAGGTGCCACTAGGCACTTGAAGCCCCCCTCTTTTTTTAATGTGTTTTATGTATCTCATGTGCCAAAAAGGAGCAGGGCTTCAATCATCTAAGTCATACCAACACTTTGATGCTTTTTACTCCCTCATTAAGGCTCTAGCTGAAGCCCATTCATTTATATCAGTGTGATGCACTTCATAAAGGATACAAAGGCACATTAACTACTCCGCATTTTTTGCACATGCACTTGTCTGCATCATGTTGCCTGAAAATTGGAGGCATTGGGCTTTTTAAATGGAATGGCCAAATGTTTTGAACAAGCTGATCCTCCATGTTTGGTGAAAATTCTCTTAGCCTGTCTGGAGTGTCTAGTGGCTCTTTTAAATAAATGAATGGTGCACCTAAATTTTCATGCACAGCACATCCGGTGCTCTAATGCTATTCTGCATTAAAAACTCCTCTATTAATTATCTCAACAGAACCTTGCACCAAGAGTGGGAGATGTAGAAATAATCTGATTAGCTTGGCTGATGGAGCAAAAGAAAGAAATGAGATCCAAGGTCTTGGATTCTTATAAAAACATACCTGCCCATCCTTCATATTCTTATGCTGGCATCTTTCAGCACTACCTCCTGTGAAGTCTGACTCCAAGCAAAAGCCACACAAAGGCAATATAAAGCTACCTCTTCCAGCAAACTCAACCAGCAAATCTTTCCAAAGCATAAAAGTCTTCCCACTACATTAATCGTAAGTGCTGAAAACAGCTACAGTATTTGTCACCGCCTTTCATTCCAAAACCGCCACCAGCACACACAGGAAAGTCTATACTTGACTCTAAAACAGAATTATCTGGATTGATAGGGACCTTTCCTTTCTTACTCATACCCCTTGCTTAATCATTGTTAGGAACATATTCTCTTCTGGCTTATATGCTTGCTGGTAAACTATGAAGTCTGCATTTGTGCATGAGTTCTTGTGGCAAAGTTGTTGAAGGGGTTGCACTATTGAGAAGGTTAGATAGCCCTAGTAGGGTTAGATAGCCCTACTTGAAAAGATGCCTGTCAAGGGCTACAGGTCCGACACCAATATTCTGATAATTTTTCTGACAGTGAGAAGAATTAATCAATGGAATAGCTTGTTCCTGGAGTTGTGGGTGCTCCATCACTGGAGGTTTTCAAACATAGACTAGACAACCATTTGACTGGGATGGTACAAGGTCTCCTGCCTTGATCAGAGGGTTGGACTAGAAGACCTCCAAGGCCTCTTCCAATCCTAGATTCTATGGTCTAAGTAAGGCTCTTCCAAAGCTTGGATAGTTTGGAACAAAATACCCAGGTATACAGTTACCATGGTTATGAAGAAAATCTGAACACCTTAATTCAAGAGCAAGACACATGCCTGCTTTCTTCCTCTTAGATGACTGGGGTTTTGTTCTGTTTTTACAGCAGTTTTCCTGCCTCATAGCAATTTACAAACTCTCTTTGGAGGCAGGCAATAATTTGGAGACAAGAAAGAGGTGGTTATAAAGAGAGAATGAAAACTGTACAAGTCCAATGAGCATTTTAGTCCCACATTGCTTTCCCAAACAATGACAAGCTGATCTTTTCTACCCAGAAAGCATCTTAGCTTTCAGAAGAAATTCCATTGCTTCCTCCAATCTCCTGTGGCCATGTTGATAGGGGGTGGATTTTGCTTGTTGTCTGCTGTCTGTAGTGCTGGGTTCTTTCCAGCCGCTGAGTCTTAGCATCACAAGGAGACCCACTGGGATGCCCATTCCGCACACCAGTATCTATATATATAGAAATGACACGCAGGTATCAAACTCATGGCTGGCATATGCACAACACTGTGTACATGGGTTGAGTTTGTATAGGCTCTGCTCTGCTGGCAACTAGAGAAGCAGGAGGAGGAGGATAGGAACAAAAATGAAGGTAGAGAATGAACAACACAGTCCTTGTATCTTGCCTTTTTTCATTTTTATTCCATTGCATTGCTTTGTTTTTTCTCTCTCTCATTTTAATTCAAAAAAAGTCTGGGTGCAAAATGCAGGTTTGGCCCAAACCCAATACAAACACTTGCCTTTGGATGCTATCTGGTCTCCAGTGAATCCAGATATTCCAGGGCTATGTCATAGCAGAAGTGGTACTGTTCCTTTAAGGAAAGGGAAAACAAGAGAGTGAGTACATGCAAACTTTGGGGATTTTGTGTGAAAAGCAGCTTAGGTAAAAGTCCCCTTTTCCCCCTGGGCCATCCACTGTTCATTGTCCACCAATCATATACAGTCAGTTTGTTTTGGGAACAGTCTGTGCCCTTCAGAGGTTTCCCAGTGTTTAACCTTGAGGTATAGAAATTCTCTCAGGTCACAGACAGTGCTTGAATTCTTCAATTTCTCCCCATATATTCCAATTACTCCCCTCCCCCCTCCATAGTTTCTGTTGTTTGGTTGTAAGCAGAGATGTATTAGAAGTCAACCATGACAGACTCACTTAATAACCACCTTGCTTAACAATGGAAATTTGGGTCCCAGTTGTGGCTGCAAGTCAATAATTTCCTATACAATCTGACTATGTTTTATTCTCTACTAAGTGGTCCTTGGTTAGGGTTGTTTGTTATTTCCTATTTTAGCTAAGTACCTACTATATTTGGTGGTATGGATTGCAACCCATCACAAAAGTTCTTTTATGTAGTGAGTTATTTATAAAGGCTTTTAATAAAATAATAATATAATAAATAAAAAGAGCTGCTGGAAAGTGGTCCTGGGAGAAGATTATTTAACCTTGGCTGTGGTCTTAACTTAAAAACCCTGATTGGCCATTATGGGAAACAATAATTCAATATTGTACCTGCGGATACAATATTCCCTCAGTTGATTACAATTTAATTCAAATTAAATATGATTTTTTTTAAAAAAAAATAGGGCTGAAACTTCATGTGAGATTTCAACAGTTACATGTCATCTCAGGATGAACGTGCCAACATTTTTCAAGATTTACAGCCTAATAACATAACATTGCCTAATGGCACCAGAGGCCTGAAAAATTAGTGACCCCTAAGATAAGCCTTCAGTTTATGAAGGATGTGGCTTTTTGTTTTTGCAGTCCAAAAGGGAGGTGACTTACTACCTACTTGTCAGAAAGCCTAAATTAAGTTCCCTCTTTTATATAGGAGCAACCATTTCATGAAAATCCTTGTACGTCTTGTTTTAAAAGACAGGGCAGCTGTTTTCAGCTGTGGCAACTAAGTTCTGAAAATAATGAAATACTGTCTAGGAAGAATTAAGTCATAGCAAAAGGGTTCCAGTTATAAGGTAATTGTGACAAAAATATACAGTATAACTGATTAAGTTACTCCTTGTAAATTCCAAAAAAGTTCTATTGCACAAAGTGATCTAAAGATGCAATGAATCCTTTATTTAAAATCTAATCATGTCTTGGAGCGGGTGGTAGGAGAAGAAAAATAAATAGCTCAAGAACTACTAAATTATTCCAGTTAGGAAAACATTATAAAATCATGGATCTTGGACCCTCTAAATTTAAGAGCAAGAATGATGTAATCGTTGAATTGAACAATAAACACTGGAATAGTTTTGTTGAGCATAACCCAAAAGTATGGGAGAAAGATATTCAATGTTCCATAACGTGTTACAAGATAACTCACAATTCACAAACTATTATATGGGTCGGGACACAATTATCTTTTCATTTTCACATTTCTCTGAATTTTGTAATACAGCTCTCCAAATTGTGTAAAATGCATTCATTTCTCACACCAAGCAAGAGAAAGTATGTTAGGTAAGACAATGTACAAAACTGGGCAGTGGAAGAAAGCCTGTACTAATATATGCAAACTGATATAGAAACTAGTTTAATGTAGCAGTTTTATCTTTATGAAAATAAAAAGAATTAGAAACTTGTAGAAAGTGAGGCTGGCAGATCTTCTACCTCTATTTTAACCTCAGGGCTTTTATGTCCTATTTTATTCAACAGAATAGTTGTGAGTTTGAAATTGGGGGGAGGAAAATACTTATGCTATTCTGATCTACTTGGAGAAAAAAAACAAAGTATAAATGTTGGTGTAAATAATATAAATAGCCTTTTCCCCATTATTATTTCTACTCAAAGTAGCTGGAAAAGTATAACAGCACTAGCTACAGTCCTACACACACTCTAAGCACTAACTACAATCCAATACACACTCTACCAAGTGTGTACCATTCCTCTGAGGTAATCTTGACTCTTGGCAACCACATAGTCAAATGCCTGCAATTTTCTTGGCAATATTTCTGGAAATAATTTGCCGTTGCCTACTTCTGAGGTTGCAGAGAGAGTGATTCGCCAAAGATCACACAGCTGGCTTTGTGCCTAAGACAGGATTAGAAGTCTTGGTCTTCCAGTTAATAACCCAGTGCCTTTAACTTCAACTGGTTGAAAAAAATATGCAGATGTGATTGCTTACTGAGCAATGAGTTACAGCAGAGGTTCCCAACCTTTTGGGCACCAGGGACCAGTTACATGGAGAGAGATTTTTCCACGGACTGGAGGGGACATGGTTTTGTGTGCTAACTGCATCACGTAGATGGGGCTTTGATTGTTTGTGCAGCCCAGTTGCTGGCATGCCACGGCCCGGTATCGGTCCACGGACCGGGGGTTGGGGACCCCTGAGCTACAGAGTTACTGTATAGTTTCTACCTGCCTCATCAGATCCAGTACAGAAGTTGGGCGGGAAAGGCAAAGGTTTCTCCTGCCCAGTCACGTTCAACTTCAGGGGACAGTGCTCATCTCCGTTTCCTAGCCGAGGGAACCAGGGTTGTCCAAAGATGCTTCTGTAGTCATGTGGCCAGCATGATTATACACCGAGGTGCACAGAATGCTGTTACCTTCCCACCAAAGTGATACCTGTTTATCCACTTGCACTTGCATGTTTTCAAACTGCTAGTTTGGTAGGAGCTGGGGCAAAAACAGGAGCTCACCCCATCATGCAATACTTGGATCTTGAACTGCCAACCTTCTGTTTGGTGAGCCAGTGTCATAACCATTATGACAACCACTAAACAATGTTGGAGTTGGGCAGAACATCAGAAAGGAAGAGATCAAAGAGATTAACATAGTACTTTTGGATTGAAAAAAAAACAAAAAAAATTCTACTTCTTTATAATAATGTAGAGAAATAAAATTCCAGCATTGGAGAAGGATGCTTGCAGGGGCCAGATCCTTAACAGACGCAGATCATGAAGCTCTACTAATAGCAATGCTCTCATTTATTCCTGCGGTGAGATCATTAAGCTAAGTCTCAGGAATCAGATTTTGCAGGTTCAATAGAAGTTGGGGGAAGATTGAGTTCTGGTTGAAAACACTACCTTGCATATCCTAATACCTTGCAATTTAGCCCAATAGGTTATACAACTCAATCCCAGTTCACTTTAAAAAAAAAAAATGCCTTGGCTTAATTCCATCCTTCATCTTGCTCAATTGAATTTTTTCTCTCTCTAATGCTATCAGAGCAACCTCTATAGCAGCGGTTCTCAACCTGTGGGTCACGACCCCTTTTGGGGTTGAACGGCCATTTCACAGGGGTTGCCAAAGTCCTGGACTGCGCATGCTTGAAGATGGCGGGTGGTTCCGGGTAGCTCCGTAGCAGCAGAGCTCGAACAGACAGCAGAGGGGAGATTTAGAGGTCCCCGGAGGTCCGGAGACCCTTCCCCGGGTGACTCTCTCTCCCGGGATCGGGACTTGGTGCGCGAGGAGGCGAGAGGAGGCGCGGGGACGCTAGGACTCCACGCTGACCGGGTAGGTG